TGCCGAGGTTACTTATGGCTTTATATAAAAGTATTATCTGTGAATCAAAGAAACATACTGTACTTTCAGTAGAAAGATATTTCTCTCTATAAAATTTCCTTTTTGATAGAGCCAGTTGGAACCCTTCCAGCTAAACAGATTTGGTTTGCAAACATCACTACTTCAACAAACTTCATGCGACCTCCCGGTGATTGTGGCACTTGAGCTCTGGGTCCACATCACTGGCGTGGCTTCAACTCCTTCCTTTTCTCCTTATGAAAAAGCTGTTTGGTGGCTACTGGCATTGAGAGGAGAGGAAAGAAGAAAAAGCATATCTCTCCCAGCACACATTCACTGGGTAGGCTGCCCACCGTAGGAGGGGGGAGATGGAGGGGATCTCCATCAAAAGGGATCTCCCCCAGCTGCCAGCAAAACATGTGCAAGTAGTCCCTTGGTCGGGAAACAGCAAGCAGGACTGGGGAGGCAGGATCTGTGCATCCAGGAGAAGCAGCAGAGCTTGGCAGCGCGGGCTGAGCTGACTGGAAATGATGTACCTGCTGCCCACACTGCCCCTGCTGCCCACACTGCCCACGCTGCTTGCACTGCTCGCACTGCCCGCACTGCCTACGCTGCCTCCACTCCCTGCTGATGTGCTGACGCGACTCTCCCCTTGCTGCTCCGCCAGCCAGGGGAAGGCGGGAGCGGCGCCGATAGGAAGGGTGCCAGACTCAGGCAGCACTTGCTTGACACGCCAGGGAGCGTATTTTGGGACAGAAAGGTCAGGTGGTTAATCAAGTGGAAACGGGATGATACGCTGTTAAAGCCCCATGTACTTGCTCTGCAAGCATGCTGGGATACAGAAAGACGGGGAGATGCAGACGTGTCCAAAGGGAACATAAACATATTGGCATTGAGCACTGAACAACAGAAAGAGTTGGCAGGTCCCTGATCTTCAGCGCATGTTTAGCTCTTTTGGCAGGGAATTACAGGCACATCAATCCAGATTCTCAAAAAGCACCTGAAAACTACATTTTGCAGCAGCAAAACATGGAGGCAGCCTGTTGAAGCCTGCTCTGAAATGCTGCTCTGTGAACACTTCTAACTCCATTAACCTATGGCCTATTGAGCTGATTTAGAAGTGGGAATATTATGAATCAAGGCAGGATACCTCTGTAGTCAGAACCAAGCCATTTTAATTCCCCAGGCTTAAATGCCGCCCTTGACTCCACTCCTGTGTTTCACCTGCTCATGGGAGCCCTGATAAACTTGGGCTGGTTTTGGTGGAACAAGATTACGATAGCAAGGACCTTGAAATGTCTCTTAAACAAAGCATAGTGCACCTAGAGGAAGACAAAAGGCTGGCTTGTAACAGAGTAATCTCTCAGTCGTTACGTTTCATGCAAATTCAAAGAGCTGATCTTTAAATGATGTCTCTTGCTTTGCTATCGGTGCTAATTCTGCTGCTTCGCTTAAAGATCTGTCAGCAATTTTATTACAACCTCTTGTTTCCAGGGATTTTAGGCTTGGTCATAAAAGTGTGGTCCCAGCCGAAACTTAACATATAAGGTTTCAAAATCTAAAAAGGAAAAAAAAAATGCAAGCGAGCTAACTCAGGTATTTTTAAGGCAATAAAAGCATAAAAAGAACCAGAAGCGTGTAGCACAAAGTGATCACAATGATTGTCTGTTCTTCTGAGAGAGGAGAAATAGCTTTATTTCATTTATTTTTTTAACCTATGGGTAATTAATAAGTCACCAGTTGGAAACATTGTTTGGGCTAATTTTGGGGGGGGGAAATGAAGCTATTTAATTGCACACGTTTTTGCATGGCATTCCTAAACCCACTAGTTGGAAGTTTATTATGCAATTTATGAACTCAATGCTTCCAAAAGAACACCTTCTTGTCCCCATGACTTACGTGTTTAACATATTTTTATTGGCCCTGAAAAAAAACAGTATTCTAAAGGAAGCCTATAAATTCCTATTTATGTAAAACTCTTGAATTACAGATCTACCTACTCTGGTTAACAGTAACCACTGTAGAATTAGTAATTGTGTCTTTAGTATCTGATTCAGGCTGGTGTTAGAAGAAACTCAACCATGATACACAGACAGATTTATGGCTCTTCTCTATATAAACTTAAATGCTCATCAAGGGGTTTGCTTAAACTTTGCTAAACAACACCTCAGAGCAGCTCACATGTCTCTGTTTTCTTTTCCCCTCTGTACAAAGGAAGGGGTGAATTAAGGTTGCAGCACTGGTCAGGTTTGGAGCTTTAACTGAATACCCTCACTTGGTGGGTCAAATCCTTTGACATTACATGCTTGGTACTGGCACAGAGTAATATTTCAACTTAAACCATGTGTGATGTGGTGGAAGCTTTTTCTCCCCCTCTGTTCTCCTTTGGTCTGTGAATTGGTTATGGTTAGATCTTTTAAATGAACAGGTGTACTTTCTCCCCCCTTGTGATATGAAAGAAGCATAAAACTCGATTATAGCAATTTATGGTCTCTTAACTTGCTTGGACTTGTATCCGTGACACAAGCAGCTTTATGCTCTTATTCAAGACTTGGTAGAATAGGAAGTTAAAATTAACCTCAATCCTTTTATAGATGAAAACCTCAACAAATAAACAGTGGTTTAGTGGCATGGCAACCTGCCCCTTTAAATCCAAGAACTAGTCTGAGATGTCTATTTTGAGTTAGTTTTGCTTTTTCAAAAAAGATAATTGGACTTGGATGAATAGAGGAGTAGTCTGTGATTCATACTGGTGTGAATTAAAGCAAAGTTTTATGCTACTACTTGGAAGATGGCAACACATGGGGTTTGATGCCTCATTTTACGCCTATATAAAAAGCACTCTGTGCTCTCCTCAGTGAGTTTCCACACAAGTGTTCCAGGATGCAAAGATGTGTGGATAGGTATAGCAAGCTATGGAGCAGGCCAGAAGTGTTTTGTTTTTAGAGGCCTGTGTTCTGAAATGTAACACTGCTTATTAAAAACAAAAAAACTCAAAAGGAATATCCCAGCTCCCTAGAGTTCACACAGGAGATCATCCCGAAAACTGATCATACTTTAAACACTGAGTTAAAAATGATGGTCTGAGCCTAGCCCTTTTCCCGACTGTGATAGCGTGACCCTGAAAAGACAAGCCCTAGAAATTAAAAGGCGTCTGCAGCAAAGACAGTCCCAAATGAGGGAGGATTCAGTTTGGGGCTTATTTTACTGATAGCGACTGCAAGCCTCAACAAGTTGCTCAATGGATAATGTGCACGTTTCAGAGGCTGAGGGAAAGGGGAACCAGGAGAAAGCAGCCTGAAGAGGAGGATATCAATGAGGGAACACCAGCAGTACGATCACTATCATTTTCTGAGCTACGTCCACAGGTGAAACACATTAAAATCTGTTTTGCAAAGAGCAAATCAGAGCACTGTACTGAAACTATTTCTGGAGAGAGCAGCTGAATCCATGTCCGAGCGTGAAAAGCCTATTGCTCTGAAGTTGTACGAGCGAGGTACTTTCACAGGGAACCAGGGGAGAGGGATACTGGATGTTAAACCTGATACTGTGCTAAGCATATAGTGTTCCCAAGAAGCTGAAGAATGCACGTCTGCGATGGATACCTCCACCCACATAGCCACTGGCTGCTGAGTAGCCATAATAATATGTGTGCTTTCTCTTACAGAAACAGAGCTGTGCACAGCAGAAGCCCAGCATGGTTTGCTCTGCAAATCACAACACTAAGTGAGGGGACTGGATCCTTCACCTGACCTGACCTGGCATGGATCTGGAGGGGGAAGGAGCTGGGTGGTCCTTCCAGCTGTCTTTTTTGCCCACCTCTGTCTACATTACAGCACATGACAACATGTTGATTTATTTCCCATACTGTTCAAAAACGCCTGCTTCTGCTCACAGCAAAGTCAGCAGCACACTTGCAGCAGATTCCACTTGAGCCTAGGTCCTTCCCAGCCCTGCGAATAATAGGATGTAACAAGTGTTTGCCTTAAGTAATGGATAACCTTTTCTGCATGCAATAAAGAGTACCCTGGTTTTGAAAATAAATGCTAAAAAAAGAACTTATTCTGATTTGCAGTAACTATTTCTCCCCAAAACCCCAGCAGAGAACCTCAATTGAGGCCATTTCATTCCAGTTGGAAGAACAGAGGAAAACTCCAATAGGAACCGTGTTCACTAAAACCAATACTGTTCCGCATCCTCCCTTTAGTTACAACTCACTATGAAGCTGCATTTTGATGGTTTTTTTTGCAGGACACGTATCAGCTGATGGTTTAGTGACCTGATTCATTGCTCACTGAGTTTTATCTGATCTTAGGGACAGAATAGGTTTTAGGAGGGCCAGACTCAGCTCTAGTGGTGGCAGGAAAGATTTCAAGCTAGAAATCTTGGTTTCATTCACATCATCCGAGCCTGAGCCTTGGAGGAAATGACTCCTGAATCACTGTTCTGCATGTTATCATTCAAATAACATCAGTTACAGAAATACACTCAAACCTGACTGCCAGTATTAAAGTCTTAGCACTAAGAGGTTGTCTTCAGGGGACAAAGCACTTTGCAAAGCCTTCTTTGCTGCTGACTTCCTGGGAAAGGTCAAAGCAAGGCATTGACAGTATTTCTCCCATTCAAGCACACAATGTGAATGATAAATACCCATCAGGAAATACACCTACGCATAGAAGAAGACCTGGCATGATGCATCTTTGCAAGAAAACAACAGCTTTCAAGTTATTATGGTTCTAGCACAGGTGAGGTTAATGAACACCATGAGCTGTACCGACACGAGGAAGATGAGGCAGTATGGACCCCTTAAAATCTGTCAGGTCTTTAGAAACACAGACGTATGTTAGGAAGCCCCTCCTTTCACTTGTTAAAGGCTTTCACTCATTAAAGGTGGCCAAGGGGAGTCTAGCAGAGATTGAGGGGCTGGGGGGCAGCGAGCCCCCATGCTCCACAGGCTGGTGGGGTGGAGATGGGCGAGCGGGGTGAGGATTTCAGGTACTTACCCTGAATCTGACTCTGAGGCTGAGGGTTAAAAGCAGTGGTGTGGTTCAAGGAGGCTCGTGGGTTGGGTGTGGGGGCTGGGTGGTGTGGGCTGACCCTCATGGCCGTACGACGCAACTGCTCCAGTTCACTCAGGCGCTCTGAAAAGGACAAGCTCCCGGGCTTTGTCTGATCATCTATTTTCTGACGATGTCCTATTGTGGGAGGGGGGGGAAAAAGATCAGAAAATCTCACTGACACATGAGGTCTGTTGACTTATTTTATTTCTTTTTTTATATTTTCTTAATTTATGTTGTCTGTTGTTTCGTTTTGGTTTTTTTTTTTTCATACCCCTCATCCACTGGTGACGTACCTAACTGGCCATCTGAAATCAAACTGAAACCACCTCTCTGCAAGAACAGGTGACACAAGCAAGTCATGCATTGTTACTGTATTGTGGGGTCTAGTGTGAAGGACCAGACCCACTGAAAATTGCAGTGCCTTCTTACACCTCACACTGGGAGAGGTGTTTCTAAAGGGAGGACTGTCTGTGGGGATGCATAAAAGGAGGAAACATTGAGTGGCCCCTCTGCTAAACCTGCACTGGAATAACTCCTCTAAAAATTCAGTCCCAGATTGTCATAAGGTACCATAATTAACTAAGTACTGTGGGGCTATACAATAACAAATCAGAACAAGTCCATGCTTTTGATCCTTTTGCAATGGATTTACAGACAGAAATAGGAAAGAAACACCAGAAGCTAGCAGAATTGAAACTGGAGTAATGAAGTTTCTCTTAGTGGCATCGGGAGCTTCAGAAACGTGAGGTCCCACCAGATACCTAACTATAATGAGTGTAGATACTGACATTACAGCACTGGCCAGTGCACAGCAGACTTGGTCATGGCCATACAGCAGTTAGAGCACTCCCCTGGAGCATGGTCCCCATGAAGCTTCGGTGCTGTGGCCCTTTGAGGCTGGTAAGGAACAGAGAAGGCACTGGAAAGGCCCAGCTCCAGTGCAACATCAGGGCATGTCCAGGTTCAGCTGGAAAGGCAGAGACATCCCATCATGGGCAGGGCTGGTTTCTAGACAAGCCTTAGTTAGCCGCAGTGAGCAGTGTGCAAGGACTAAGGTAATGCATTTCTAACTGTTGCCTGTGGCTGCTGTCTGTACTGGGATCTTTCGTGTGTCAACCTGTAACCACAAAGACAGCACACAGAGCATGCAAGAAGGGCGTCTTGTCTCCCCTCCCCTTCCTCCCATAGAGCACTGTTACCCTGACAGGAATTCCATGTCAGATCTCTAGCCCATAGATCAAACACCTTTTTTTCTCCTTGTTCCCTTGAAGAAGGTGGCATCATGCTTGTTTTTTGCTGAATGCCATAGTTTACTGTCTATCTGCTCCCAATTTTCATTTTCTTGACACGAAGAGTTGCCTCCTGTAGTTTTCCTTGTATCTCCATTCCCCCCACAAGGACATGACCAGTGCTGTTCCTATGTTGAATCCTCTCTCAACAACACACGGCTACAGCAGTGAAAGAGGCTGCCACAAAATCCCTAAAATAATCCACCGTGCCCTGTTCCACACATCCCCATAGTGTTTAATACATAAACATTCACCAACATCCATGAACATGCAGCTTCCAATCTTGAGTATTGGTGAGTAAGCAGCAACAGATCACTGGAGAGATCTGTATGCCCCTTACTCTACAGAGCGCTCTTTCACGCTGCCTGAGCAGCTCAATCGAGACACAGGACCATTTTATGCACTGAAAGGAAAATGCACATTTAAAAGCATTCCCAGTAGCTGCATTTCTAAAATTAAATTTTATAACTTGTATTATGGTTCCAAATCGCAGTGGCTTGCGTTTCTTCCTGCTGCCAGGCCCTTTGGCACAGCTTCAACTGTCTCGGATTCCACACTGCGCTGTGAGTTATCCCAAGGGGGGGGAGGGAATTAAAATATAAAAAGATGTATTATATAGCAGCGGTTTCATCATTAAAGAGACCCATTAGGGCTTCCAAAAAGAAAAAAAAAAGGAAAAAAAAGGAAAAAAAAGGAAGGGAGAAGTGAAGAAATATGAAAAAGACTTTTATCTGACATTCTGGTTGGTCAAGAGCAAACACTTCATCTATCAGCAATGCAAAGCTGGGTTCTGCCTCAAGCCTTGGGCTCCTGACCCTGGGCTTGAACGCAAACACGCAGAGTCATACATGAAGTGTAAAATACCTCATACATTTGGATTATTTTAAACTTCAGCAGGCTGAACCCGGGCTTGCAGAGCCAAGAGCCAGATCCTTCCAAATCCTTCCCAATCCTTCCCCCCTGTGTAATTTATTCCTAATTTCAAATTCCGCCCAAACATCATCTTCTTTCAAGGGAGTGCATCAGCACCAAACTTGACCCCTGCTACCCTGCCTTCTCCTCCTACCTCCCTGGTGCTGCCCTCCTTGCACCTGGAGTTATGCCTGCCCGGTGTGAAACCAAGCATCCCAGCAGCACAAGCCTATGTGCTTACAACCTCGCATGGAGTTCCTCCTGAATCCAACAGGACAAGGGCCACATTAAGGCTGTTGGGGCAGGATTAACATTCCTGCTTTGAAACCAGCTCAGGCACTAAGTTTGTGTCGATCTGGCACACGACGCTGGGCAGGGCAGGCAAACCCGAGCTCGCTCTCAACAAACCAAAGAGCAGGCGGCGAGCAGGGCACATTAACCCAGGCACAGCATCCTCCCGAGGTCACTGCAGGGCACCCTGTTCCCAGGCCAGCTCTGTCTGGGCTGATGGAAGCATCTCTGCCCGTCTCTGTGCTGCTCAACCACAGAGTGAAACTCCTGGTGCCCCCAGCCCAGCCCTGCTGAATTTGGGCACTGAAGGGGTCAGCTAGCCACCTGTTGGACAGGGTCTTCTCTGTAGCCTGGGGGCACCACTGGTGCATCAGCACACTCAAGATCTGTCTCATCCCTAGGGCTTGTGGAAATTCCACCCATGCCATTGCATTCAGATATGAAAGATCAGTGCCAACAGGTTCCTGCTTAGGGGAACTCTGTTGTTGTTTTTGTCCATATATTTTCATTTTTGGACAGAGCTGCTTAGAATCAATGCCAGGCACTACTGTCACCTCAAGATGTAGCTCCAAAAGTGGCTCTTCCCACCAAGTCACCCTTGCTGACTGCTGCAGGTAGAAACGCAGAACCTGTTTTGCATGAGGGTCTGCAGCAGGGAAGTGAAGAACTGTGTCAGAAAAATCTAACAAATATAAATGAGTTTCCCAAGCCACTATAAACGCACAGGCAGAGCTGTGACTTGCATTTTTATGTTTATTAGCTTTACTTTGAAGTTACCTTCTAAACACCTTGCTTAAAGAGCAGGCAAGTTATCCTCAGTTCAGCCTGGTAAAGCCCAGGACTATTATTATCCCTGTTTCACAGGTGGAAAACTGAATGACAGAGAAATGAGGTGACTTGCCCGTGGCTGGTCAGTGACCCTGTGGTAGACACTGGCCTCCCAACTCAGTGTGGTGACCACAAGCCCAGGCTTCCCCTGTCCAGGACAGCAGCATGTTGCAGGATGAAGAAGAGTGGCAGGAAGGGCCTTGGGAACCGGTGCAGCTCTGCTGAGCCAGCGGTTTGGCCACAAGGATCTGCCACGTCTGCAGATCAGACAGTACTTTATGGAAGTCAATCAAACATTCAGCTGTTGAACGAAGAAGACCCTGTCCTACAGCCCCCAGAGAGAGCTGGCTTGCCGTGAAATGGTACCACTGTCTTGTTCCCTCCACATGGGTTTTGACAAGCATCAATTTGCAGGTACTAGCAGAGAAAAGAAAAGGGCAGCATTTTTTCCCCGTGGGTTGCAGGGTCCGACAACGGAGTAGGACATCCAGCCTGCCTGGCCAAACCTCGGGGTTTGGGGGCTTTTGGACTTTTCTTCTTTTATCCCTTTCAAATACTGCCTTGGTGAGGTCAGGCAGACTTTTTTACACTGAGTATTAAACAAGGAGTGCAGAGAAAACATTAGCTTTTCCGATACTTTTACAGCAACGCAACATGAAAGTACTTTCCTTCTTAATGGGAGGGAAACGCAGTTTTATAGACTTTAAGAGACTGCAGAGCACTCAGCTTGGCCTGCAGCCATCTGGTTGGGGCTCTGGATGTGGAGATGACAAGAACAAAGCGCTCTGGCAGCCCCTAGTTTTGCATACATTGGGTTTTCACTGGGAATGGTTGCTTGGTCCTTGTTTCACCATGGCTGGCGCCATGCAGACAACAGCACCAATGCACTGGGATGTCTCCAAGTGCAGAAAAAGAAACAGGTCTCCCATTGCCTTAATTTTAACCTAGTTTGTAAGTGTCACTAGATACTCTTCAGATTAGGAGGGGGAGAAACAGGTAAAACAGAGGCTGAGGAAAGGCATCATTGCTCTCATTCTGCCAGCTGAAGCTACGGAAATTCCTGTGGGTACCCAATGCCTTTTTACAAGTAAACACTACTGGAATGCATTAATGGACATTTTTCTTCTCTTTTCATCAATTCACAGGATGAGTACACTCTTCTGTGCTTGCTCTCATTTGCTCACAAATATGACTATTTGGAGCATTGGGAGGTACTGATACCTGCAAAAGATTTGAGCTTGGGGGATCAGGTGTCTGATGGGAGACACATTGGCTCATGGCTGCTGAGCATCCCAGCTAGAGGCAGACCTGAGCACAAACACCACAGGTTTTCATGTGCATTATCCGTAAGTTTTCTATCCAAAATCAGCAGGGTGTATTTGGGTGGCATGTATAGGGGGAGTTTAATTAAGTGGAGCCCTTTCTCCCAGAGAGGAGCAGAATACCTCCCCCTCTTTTCTCTGCCTCCCACCTCTCCTTTTTCCAGGGGGAAATGGAAACATTTCACACCCAAAAAGTGGATCATAGACAGGAAAATAACAGCATCTGGCAGACATTGTTGAAGTAGGGAGTGACTGATGAAACGCAACGTTTTGGTTTAATGAAAGCTGGCTGCTTTGAAACCGTATTGGACTTTAATACAAGCATCTCCACTTTTCTGGGCTGTTTGTGTTAAGGGCTTTGGTTTGACTCCAGCTCTAGTGGGGTAGAAAATAAGCCATGTTTCATTGTGTCCAGTTAATAAAGTGGTACACATTGTTTTGTGCCGTGGAGCTAAAATAAATCCAATTATTCTGTACAGAGTGAAGAATGAGA